GGGGGGGGTTCTGTGTGAGGAAGCAGGGCTGCAGGGGTGGGTTGTGTGTGAGGAGGAAGCAGGGCTGCAGGGTTGGGTTCTGTGTGAGGAAGCAGGGCTGCAGGGGTGGGTTCTGTGTGAGGAAGCAGGGCTGCAGGGTGGGTTCTGTGAGGAAGCAGGGCTGCAGGGGTGGTTCTGTGAGGAAGTAGGGCTGCAGGGGTGGGTTCTGTGTGGGGAGGAAGCAGGGCTGCAGGGGTGGGTTCTGTGAGGAAGTAGGGCTGCAGGGGTGGGTTCTGTGAGGAAGCAGGGCTGCAGGGGTGGGTTCTGTGAGGAAGCAGGGCTGCAGGGGTGGGTTCTGTGTGAGGAAGCAGGGCTGCAGGGGTGGGTTCTGTGAGGAAGCAGGGCTGCAGGGGTGGGTTCTGTGTGAGGAAGCAGGGCTGCAGGGGGTGGTAGGTTCCGGGAGAGAGGTGAGGCCTGGAGGCAAAGGAAAATTGCAGGGGAATGCAAGCCCAGAGGTCTCAGAAGGGAGCACCTTTCTGGGGGTCCTAAGGATGCCCAAAATGTTTCTAACAAAAAATCAAAGCAGCTCCCAAAGCTCCAGTTTGCCCAGCTCCAGCCCTGCCCAGCTCCAGCCCTGCCCAGCTCCAGCCCTGCCCAGCTCCAGCCCTGCCCAGCTCCAGCCCTGCCCAGCTCCAGCCCTGCCCAGCTCCAGCTATGCCCAGCTCCAGCTCTGCCCAGCTCCAGCCCTGCCCAGCTCCAGCTCTGCCCAGCTCTGCCCAGCTCCAGCTCTGCCCAGCTCCAGCTCTGCCCAGATCCAGCTCTGCCCAGCTCCAGCTCTGCCCAGCTCTGCCCAGCTCCAGCCCTGCCCAGTTCCAGCTCTGTCTAGGTTCAGCTCTGTCCAGCACCAGCTCTGCCCAGCTCCAGCCCTACCCAGCTCCAGCCCTGCCCAGCGCCAGCCCTGCCCAGCTCCAGCTCTGCCCAGGTCCAGCTCTGCCCAGCTCCAGCTCTGTCCAGCTCCAGCTCTGCCCAGCTCTGCCCAGCTCCAGCTCTGTCCAGCTCCAGCTCTGCCCAGGTCCAGCCCTGCCCAGCTCCAGCTCTGCCCAGCTCCAGCCCTGCCCAGCTCCAGCCCTGCCTAGCTCCAGCCCTGCCCAGCTCCAGCCCTGCCCAGCTCCAGCTCTGCCCAGCTCCAGCTCTGCCCAGCTCCAGCCCTGCCCAGCTCCAGCTCTGCCCAGCTCCAGCTCTGCCCAGATCCAGCTCTGCCCAGATCCAGCTCTGCCCAGCTCCAGCTCTGCCCAGCTCTGCCCAGCTCCAGCCCTGCCCAGTTCCAGCTCTGTCTAGGTTCAGCTCTGTCCAGCACCAGCTCTGCCCAGCTCCAGCCCTACCCAGCTCCAGCCCTGCCCAGCGCCAGCCCTGCCCAGCTCCAGCTCTGCCCAGGTCCAGCTCTGCCCAGCTCCAGCTCTGTCCAGCTCCAGCTCTGCCCAGCTCTGCCCAGCTCCAGCTCTGTCCAGCTCCAGCTCTGCCCAGGTCCAGCTCTGCCCAGTTCCAGCTCTGTCCAGCTCCAGCTCTGCCCAGCTCTGCCCAGCTCCAGCTCTGTCCAGCTCCAGCTCTGCCCAGGTCCAGCCCTGCCCAGGTCCAGCTCTGCCCAGCTCCAGCTCTGCCCAGGTCCAGCCCTGGCCAGCTCCAGCCCTGCCCAGCTCCAGCTTTGCCCAGCTCCAGCTCTGTCCAGCTCCAGCTCTGCCCAGCTCTGCCCAGCTCCAGCTCTGCCCAGCTCCAGCTCTGCCCAGGTCCAGCTCTACCCAGCTCCAGCTCTGCCCAGGTCCAGCCCTGGCCAGCTCCAGCTCTGCCCAGGTCCAGCCCTGCAAAGCTCCAGCCCTGCCCAGCTCCAGCTCTGCCCAGCTCCAGCCCTGCCCAGCTCCAGCTCTGCCCAGCTCCAGCCCTGCCCAGCTCCAGCTCTGCCCAGCTCCAGCTCTGCCCAGCTCTGCCCAGCTCCAGCTCTGCCCAGCTCCAGCTCTGCCCAGGTCCAGTTCTGCCCAGCTCCAGCCCTGGCCAGCTCCAGCCCTGGCCAGCTCCAGCTCTGCCCAGCTCCAGCTTTGCCCAGCTCCAGCTCTGCCCAGCTCCAGCTCTGTCCAGCTCCAGCTCTGCCCAGCTCTGCCCAGCTCCAGCTCTGCCCAGCTCCAGCTCTGCCCAGGTCCAGCTCTGCCCAGCTCCAGCTCTGCCCAGGTCCAGCCCTGCCCAGGTCCAGCTCTGCCCAGCTCCAGCTCTGCCCAGCTCTGCCCAGCTCCAACCCTGCCCAGCTCCAACTCTGTCCAGCTCCAGCCCTGCCCAGCTCCAGCTCTGCCCAGCTCCAGCCCTGCCCAGCTCCAGCCCTGCCCAGCTCTGTCCAGCTCCAGCCCTGCCCAGCTCCAGCTCTGCCCAGCTCCAGCCCTGCCCAGCTCCAGCCCTGCCCAGCTCCAACTCTACCCAGCTCCAGCTCTGCCCAGCTCCAGCTCTGCCCAGCTCTGCCCAGCTCCAGCTCTGCCCAGCTCCAGCTCTGCCCAGCTCCAGCTCTGCCCAGGTCCAGCCCTGCCCAGGTCCAGCTCTGCCCAGCTCCAGCTCTGCCCAGCTCTGCCCAGCTCCAACCCTGCCCAGCTCCAACTCTGTCCAGCTCCAGCCCTGCCCAGCTCCAGCTCTGCCCAGCTCCAGCCCTGCCCAGCTCCAGCCCTGCCCAGCTCTGTCCAGCTCCAGCCCTGCCCAGCTCCAGCTCTGCCCAGCTCCAGCTCTGCCCAGCTCCAGCCCTGCCCAGCTCCAGCCCTGCCCAGCTCCAGCCCTGTCCAGCTCCAACTCTACCCAGCTCCAGCTCTGCCCAGCTCCAGCTCTGCCCAGCTCCAGTTCTGCCCAGCTCCAGTTCTGTCCAGCCTGCCCAGCCCCAGCCTGGCCTCAGGTGGCTTCACCCAGTGCAGACATGATTTCTAAGTACAGTCCAGCCTTCCCAGGACATCTAGGACATTCTGCCAGCTTCTGACCACAGAGGTACAACATGGAGAGACCAGCAGGCTAGCGGCGGACAGAGCCCCACTGCTTGGAGAAGAGCCATATGCAGGGTCACCAAGTATGGGCAAAGACCCGGGGAAGGGCTCAGGGGCTTGTCACCATGGGGTCAGCCGGGAGGAGGCCCAGGGCCGTCGTGGTAGGGATGTGGCAGGGATTACAGTCTCAAAAGAGCCACCATTCTCATTCTTTCACCTCTCTGAGTCTCTGTTTGAAGCATGGCACAGCTGCTGCCTCCTTCAGGTGAAGGCTGCCTTCCCCCTAGTTTGCTCTGCAGGTGTGCAGCAGGTTTGCAGCGAGCTGAAGGAGCAGGGACCGCCCGGTGGCCCAGGTGAGATCAAAGAGGGCCAGAAGCAGAGCCAGCATCCACCCACACTACAGCCCACACTGGGGGTGGGGGGGAGGTCTCTGGCTAGTGACTGGGGTCTGGGGCAGGTCCAGCCTCAGAACCGGGGAGGGCACCACTGGAGCAGAGTGCCGGAGGGGAGAGGCAGGAGGGGGGAGGGGCCAGACGGCTGCGTGGAGACCGAGGGCAGAAAGGGCAGCAGAGGAAGTGGGGCCCCAGGGCTGACTGGGGGCCTGGGGTCTCTCCTTTGCCAGAGCTCTGGGGTGGAGGAAGATGGAGAGTTCCCTATCACTTGTCTCTGGGGGGCGAGTGTGGTGCACTCTGTGGCCCGGGGCAGCCAGCAGCCCGGTAGGCTTCCGGAGCCTTCCTTTCTGAACTCGGTAAGGAACCCACAGAGGAAGGAGGAGGAGCCCCAGGCGGTGGAGGCCCCCCCTCCTTCTGAGCGGCAGCCTTAGCCCAGAGGCCCGTTCTCCACAGCCAGGCAGGCCCAGTGTGGCGCAGGACAGGGAGGCCGTGGCCTCAAGAACTCATGGGCATCAGAACTCCTGCACAGGTGAAGAAGAGCCTGCAGCCAGCTCAGGCCGACCCATGGCCTCCCAAGAGCTCCACCCGCTGGCACCCTCGCGCCTCCGCCTCCCCAACCAGCCAGTCCCCTGCCTCTGCCCAAGCAAGCCCAGCCTTCGTCAGGGCCCTGCCTGGTGCCCCGTCACCCCTGCCCAGCAAGCAGCCCTCAGCCTCCCCCCCTCCCCTGGAGTGGCCAGCCTGAGCCAGCCCCAGGTAACTGCCTCAGACAAGGGAGGGTCTTTGGGACCCTCCAGCCGCGGAGCTGGGTCCCCCCTTCCGCCCCCTGCGTCCCTCCCACAACCCCGCCCCAGGATCCAGTGTCCCTAACTCAGCCTCTTGTATTTATAGTTCTGGCCAGGCGCCCGCCTGGGGAGTGAACCTGGTGCGGGGTGGCGTCCGGGAGCGGGGAGGGCTGTGGGGGTGGGGGCCCCAGGACAGAGGGATGTGGGGACAGCCCCAGGAGTTCCTCGGGAGGGAGGGGACCCCGGGCCTGGCTGGCATGCGGGGCGGGGAGGGCTGGCTGGCAGGTAGGGCTGGCTGGCAGGTAGGGGACCTGGCTCTTCGTGAGGTCACTGGCTGGGGGGGGCCTGGGGTGGATAGGGGTACTGATGAAGGGATGACCCCAAGTCCCTGTGGGGACGCTAGAGGGGTGGACACTGGCAGTGGGGACGCTAGAGGGGTGGACGCTGGCAGTGGGGACGCTAGAGGGGTGGACGCTGGCAGTGGGGACGCTAGAGGGGTGGACGCTGGCAGTGGGGACGCTAGAGGGGTGGACGCTGGCAGTGGGGACGCTAGAGGGGTGGACACTGGCAGTGGGGACGCTGGTGGGGGTGGACACTGGAGGTCTGGGTGAGGACACTGGGGGAGACCCAGGGTGGGGCTGGGGTTACTGGGTGGGGGCACCTGGGTGCAGGTGGAGACACTGGGAGGGGGGGCCTGGGGCTGGGAGGGGACACTGGAGGGGGTGGGCGCTGGCAGTGGGGGCCACGGGTCTGGGTGAGGACACTGGGGAGGGACCCAGATCTGGGTGGGGACCCCGGGTCGGGGGACACTGGCGGTGGGGTACCCCGGGCCCGGCCCGCACCTGGCAGCGGCTGACGACGTCGGCGTCCGTGGCCAGCAGGTCCACCACCTTGCCTTTGCCCTCGTCCCCCCACTGCGCGCCCAGCACCACGGTCACGCGGGAGCCGCTGGCCGCCGCCTCCTGCTGCAGCCGCCCGCGCTTCACGCCGCCCGCGCCGGGGGGCCGGTCGTTGGAGGCTCGGGTCCCCGACATGCCGGAGGGCGGAGGGAGCGCGGGGCGCCGCGCCGAGCGGAGCGGAGCGGAGCCGCCGAGCGGAGCCGCCGAGCGGAGCGGAGCGCCGGGCCTCGCGCCGGCCATTAAGAGCGGCCGCCCGGCGGGGGGGGGCGGGGCGGGGCGGGGCGGGGCCTCGCGCCGGCCATTAAGAGCGGCCGCCCGGCGGGGGGGGGCGGGGCGGGGCGGGGCGGGGCCTCGCGCCGGCCATTAAGAGCGGCCGCCCGGCGGGGGGCGCGGGGGGGGGCGGGGCGGGGCCTCGCGCCGGCCATTAAGAGCGGCCGCCCGGCGGGGGGGGCGGGGCGGGGCGGGGCGGGGCCTCGCGCCGGCCATTAAGAGCGGCCGCCCGGCGGGGGGGGCGGGGCGGGGCGGGGCGGGGCCTCGCGCCGGCCATTAAGAGCGGCCGCCCGGCGGGGCGGGGCGGGGCGGGGCGGGGCGGGGCCTCGCGCCGGCCATTAAGAGCGGCCGCCCGGCGGGGCGGGGCGGGGCGGGGCGGGGCCTCGCGACGTCGCCCGGAAGCCGGGGCGGAGCGGGGCGGGGCGGGGCGGGCCGGGCCGGGACGGGACACCGACGCCGGGACCGCGGGCCGTCCTCGCTCCCCCCCCCCCCCCCCCCCCCGGGGTCCTTGCTCCACCGGGGTCCCCGTCGACCGGGGGGTCCTCATGTGCACACTGGGGTCCTCGTGTGCACTGGGGGTCCTCGTGTGCACACTGGGGTCCTCGTGTGTACTGGGGTCCTCGTGTGCACACTGGGGTCCTCGTGTGCACACTGGGGGTCCTTGTGTGCACACTGGGGGTCCTCGTGTGCACCCTGGAGGTCCTCGTGTGCACTGGGCGTCCTCGTGTGCACCGGGGGTCTTCGTGTGCACACTGGGGGTCCTCGTGTGCACCCTGGGGGTCCTCATGTGCACTGGGCGTCCTCGTGTGCACCGGGGGTCTTCGTGTGCACACTGGGGGTCCTCGTGTGCACCGGGGGTCCTCGTGTGCACCGGGGGTCCTCGTGTGCACCGGGGGTCCTCGTGTGCACCGGGGGTATCGTGTGCACTGGGGGTCCTTGCATCCATCGGAACACCTCTGCCTGCTGTGGAGCAACCCTAAGACCCAGGCACTAGACGCCACTCCTCCCCGGCTGCCCAGGCGGTGGGCACCAGCCCCTGCTCCTCCCAGCCCCAGCTCAAGGGTGCACTGGGGACTGGAAGCCTGGCTGCCACATGGGACACAGCTTTGCCCACCCGCAGCCAACTCTCAGTGGGTCCTGGCCCAAGGGAGATGTTTGGGGCCTGGGAAGGGGACCCTAGGAAGACCCGGCCAGGAGGGACAACTTCCCTCTCTATGGCACTCTGAGCAGAGGCTCTGCCCCTGTGCAGTCCCAGCAAAGGTCACCAGCAGAGGCAGGCGGATTCCAGCCCAGCAGGGGACTGCACTGCCCATCCTTGCCCTCCTCCCTGAGGTCTGCCCCACAGCTGTGCAGGCCATTTTATTCTCTGGGACCTGTGGGTTCTACTTGGGGTCACAGACTGCTCTTCCCCGGCCTGCCATGGTGAGCCCACCCTGGGTTGTGGCCATCGGCGATAACCCCCCTCCCACTAGGGAAGCGGTAGCCGCCGTGCGCAGTGCCAGCGGGGCTAGCTGGTGTGGTGGGATGTGGCATGGGCCCCCTGCCACCGGCTCCTGGAAGAGGCTGGACACGGCTGATGAGCGCTGGGAGGGGCGGGGCAGCCTCCACGGTGGAGCTGGCATCTCAGGAGGAAGGGGCACAGCAGCATCTGCGGTGTGGAGGGGCCGGACGGCTGCAGGAGGAACCCCGCAGACCGGTGCTCAAATCTGTCCATCTGACAGCGTGCCCATGTCCCAGAGAAGGGGCACGGGCTCCCCTCCCCAGAGAGACCTGGGGCTCTGGGCCAGCGGTATGAGGGCCCAAGGGGTCAGGTGAACCCTGGGGGTCCCACTGTGGAGGTTCACATCGGGCCGTGGGACAGTGACTTCCCAGGCCCAGGCCTATAAATAGCCGAGGCCCGGGGTGGGGGCAGTGTTGGCCTTTTCTAAAAACAGCCCATCGGGACCAACAGCTGAGCCCAGGGTGGTCACATGGTCCAGCTCAAATTAGAACCCCCGCCCCTGCACAGGCCTGTCACCGGGGCGGTGGCAGTCAGCAAGCTCAGGATCCCAGCTTCGCTGCTGGCTCCCCTGACAAATAGTCTGGACAAAGCAGGCCCAAAGGGTGTGTGTGTGTGTGTGTGTGATGTGTGTGGGTGGTGTGTGTTTGGTGTGTATGTGTGTGTGGTGTGTGGTGTATGTGTGTGGTGTATGTGTGTGGTGTGTATGTGTGGTGTATGTATATGTGTGTGTGGTGTGTGTGTGGTGTGTGTGTGGTGTATGTGTGTGGTGTGTGTGTGGTGTGTGTGTGTGGTGTATGTGTGTGGTATGTGTGTGGTATGTGTGTGGTGTGTGTGTGTGGTGTGTGTGTGTGGTGTATGTGTGTGGTGTGTGTGTGTGGTGTATGTGTGTGGTGTGTGGTGTATGTGTGGTGTGTGTGTGTGGTGTCTGTGTGTGTGTGGTGTCTGTGTGTGTGTGGTGTGTGTGTGTGTGTGTGGTGTGTGTGTGTGGTGTGTGTGTGGTATGTGTGGGTGTGTGTGTGTGGTGTGTGTGTGTGGTGTATGTGTGTATGGTGTATGTGTGGTGTGTGTGTGTGGTGTGTGTGGTGTGTGTGTGGTATGTGTGTGGTGTGTGTGTGTGTGTGGTGTGTGTGTGTGTGTGTGGTGTGTGTGTGTGTGGTGTGTGTGTGTGTGGTGTGTGTGTGGTATGTGTGGGTGTGTGTGTGTGGTGTATGTGTGTGGTGTGTGGTGTATGTGTGTGGTGTGTGGTGTATGTGTGGTGTGTGTGTGGTGTGTGTGTGTGGTGTATGTATGTGTGGTATGTGTGTGGTGTGTGTGTGTGTGTGTGGTATGTGTGTGTGGTGTGTGTGTGGTTTCTACTCCCTGGGCCCGTGACCTCTGCCCTGCCGGCACACTGGCTCCCTGGCCGTCCTAGGAGCTGGCCCAAAGGCTGCAGGGGGGGGGGGGGTGGAGACCTGATCAAGTCAGCCTGATAGGGGTACAAGTAGGACCCCCCAGCCTGCTGTGTGGGTGAGGGCCCTGGTGGGGTCCAAGCCAGACCAAGGAGAGGGCCATCTACCAACACTTGGTCTTCCCGCCCTTCCCGTCCACCGTTCCTCCTGTTCACCCCTTACCCCCTCCATCCTCCCAGCGCTGTGGAGACAGCCAGCCTCCACCTCCCCACTCTCCCCAGCCTCTGCACACGACCCATGTGGCTGGCCAGGGCTGTTTTATTATCCATGCCCCTGCTGGCTTCTGCCTCAGCAGCACATACTGGGGGGGAGGGGAAGGAGGGAGAGGGGGAGGAGGAGGGGGAGGAGGGGCAGGACAGGCTGTCCTGGGTGGAGGCTGCTGCGGTCATCCTGGGGGTCAAGCAGGCCCTTCTCACCCGGGGCTGGGAGGCCAAGCAGCTGTTCCCTCTCCACAAGAGGGCCGATGCAGGGTCGGTGGCCAGGCCTGCCTGTGGCCACCCTTGGGGACTGGCACACCAGTCAGGCCAGACTCATGGCAGGGGCCTGGGCTTGCCCGTCCTGCCTTCCTCACGTCCCCCCCATCCCCCCCCATCGGTGGAAGCCCTGCTGAGCAGACGGATGGAGGCAGGCTGGGGAGCTCGAGCCGCACTAGCGGACAACATGGCAGCAGACAGGAAGCCACTGCCACTCCCTGCGGTGCGTGCCGTGCGGGGTTGGGTACAAGCAGATGGCAAGGCTGCGTGCGTGCAGGTGGCCTGGGACGCCAGGCCAGGCCCAGGCCGGATGCCTGTGGCCACCCTGACTGGGAAAGGCACGGAGTTTTGATTCCTCAGGCCCCGTTCTGGCCTGGCCTGGAAGGTCTTGCCACACAGCGTGTCCAGGGCCTGTTGCTGTGGGGAGGCCGGCGCTGCTTACTTGGCTTTGGGCCTGGGCCTGAGGCCTGCGGAAGAAACGGTGAGTTACTTGCTGGGAAAGCTCTGGGCCACTTCCGGGGCCCAGGGCTCACGTCCAGGACCGGGTCCCACTTCTGGGACCCGGGTTTCACATCTAGGGCCTGGGTTTCACCTCCGGGGTCCAGGCCCACCTGTGCTACCACTGAGGCCAACCCACGGGTCCCCAGCCTGCTCTGACCCCAGGTTCTTGCTGAGGTGGGGTGCATCCAGGTGGTCAGAGGATAGGGGAGGCCAGCGGGCGGCTCCTGTCCAGGCTGAGCCCCAGTGAGATGTGGTGCCCTCCACCGTGGCGGGGTCTGCCTGACCTGCTCCCCAAGTCTCTGTCCCCCACCTCCGTCCTGCCTGCTCCTTCTCCAGAGGGGTGCTGAGGGCTCCAAGGGCGCTGTGCCCGCAGCCCTGGCCTAGACAGCCTCAGTTCTGCAGGCCCCTTGCCCCCAACCCCCCTACGCTGGCTGAAGAGCTATCCCCTCTGCCACCCCGGGCTGAGCCGCCTCAGGCTCAGGTTTGAGAACCACTGCTCAAAGGAGAGAAACCGAGTTGAGCAGAGATGAACTGTCCAAAGGCCACCGTGAGGGACTTCAGTGTCGCCTCACTGCAGGTCACCAGAGAATGGCTGGGCAGACGCACGGGAAGTCCTGGTGAATGGGACCACCGACAGTGCTAAGGAAGGGGGGCCGGAGAGTGGAGGGGTCACCCATCCAGGGACGGGGCGGCGCGTCACAAAGGCAGGCCTGCCGGAGCAGTCTATGCGGAAGGTCCACAGCGACACGCAGGAGAGGAAGACGCTAGAAGGGACGATGGGCAGGAAATCTCAAGAGCCAGCTGTGTTGTCACAAAGCCCAAAGTGGAGCTGTGGATCCAAGTGGTGGAGCACTCACTTTGAGCAAAAAGAGCTCAAAGGCTCTGAGTTCAAGCCCCGGAATGGACACACACAAAAAGTCTGGAACGTGCTAAAATGAAGGTCAGCAAAGAGCTGTGACCATCACACACAGGGTGCACAGTTCTGGACAGCACTCTTCCCAAGAGCCCAAAGCACAGGCTACAGGAAATCCTGCGGCCCAGCCAGGAGAGCCGGTGCATGCCTGACACCCCAGCTGCACGGTCCCTGCCAGCCCCGGATGGGCACGAGCCCATCGGAAAAGCACACCCAAGGCAAAAGGGGCCGGTGGCCGTGCTTGAGGCACCGAGTTCAAACCCCAGCACCAGAAACGAGAGAGGAAGAAGGCCCTGCGGGGATGCGGTGCGTGGGGGAAGTGTCCCGGCCGAGGTGTCCTGCCGGTCCTACCCATGACCCTGCGCCTAGCAGACGCCCGAGCCACCCCCGGAGGGGACAGGCCCATGACTCGGGTGGGCCACTCGCCTCAGAGCGGGGCACCAGGCCGCACAGTTCACTAATTCTGGAAAACGTTGCAGTTGGAGGGGGTGAGGTGGGTTCTTTCTGGTTGCCTTACACATTCCTATCAATTTTCCCAATCAGGAGAAGTTGGGAAAGGAGGAAGTGGCAGCCCTTCTTGGGTGTGTGTGTGGCGGGGGAGACTGAGTCACACCTGTCCCCACAGGCTGAGGGAGGAGCAGCCCGGGACAGTGACGTCACTGGACCTCGGCTACAGGTGCCTGCTGGTCCTCCAAGCCACACGAGGTCCCACTGTCTCCCCCCTCCCCCAGGGAGGAGCGGAGGGAGTGCGAGTCAGCCCAGCTCTGGGGGATGAGCCTGCCCTCCTGTGTCAAGGCAGGGGTCCAGGCTCTGCGGGGGTGAAAGCCAGTGCTCGGGCACGGGTGTGGCCTCTGATGTGCCAGTCCTGGGCCTTGCTTCCCGGCTGCTGGCCATGGGCAGCAGGTCTGTGGCGTGAGCCAGACCTAGGGCCACCCTGGGAGGGCTGGGGTGCTGGGCCCCCACAGCCTGGGCCCAGGTGTAGCTCACCACCGGGCCAGGCTCGCTCGACCTCCGCACCCACGTTCCTCCATCTGGGGCAGGCAGATCTGGGCCGGCCGGTCCCGCCTTGTCTCTAGCCTCTCACCACGGAAAACAGCCCTGACTGGGTGAGGCCCCTGAGGCTCAAGGTGAGAGACGCCAGCTCCTCCGCAGCCCACCGCCTCGGAGGGCGCTGGACGGTCGGGCTCCCAGTCTCCCTGGGGCGTACCTGGCCACTGCCTGGGTGACTTGGAGGGGTGCGGGGCTCTGGGGCCGGCCCTGTGCTCAGACTTGGAACAGAGCACCTCCCCCTACCTTGGAGAGCTGGGGGTGGGGGGAGCGGGGCAGGCAGGCGATTAGGACAGGGGCCACCCGAGCTGGTCCCACTGGCCGGGAGGAGCTGCCCCCGGCCCCACACACTCCCCGCAGAGCCCTGGAGACCAGCCCTGAGGTTACACAGGAAACCCCGGGTGAGCGAGGTGGACAGACAGACCCCAGCAGGGATGGGACAGCGAAGCCACCACCACCAAGAGCCGCAGGAGGGGCCTAGAGAAGCCAGGTTAGCGACCAGGAGGGCGGGCAGGAGGCTCAAACTTGGCACCGCTGCCACCGTTAGTCTACAGAGAGCCAGGCTGGGTACGTACCTCACTGGATGGCACACAGCCTTTTTGTTTTACTATCATCAGAGTCAGGGGCAACCTCTGCTTTCAAATGAAAGAAACACACTCAGCAGCTCATTGCCAGCCTCAGCCCGGTGTTTAGACCTGTCCGAGGCGGGCAGCGATGCGCCACCAGACCGGCACCCCAGGCCTGGGGCCAGAGCCAAATACCGCGGCGCTCAGGGGCGCCTGGTGCCAGACCCGGCCCGACCGGCAGTGAGGGCCAAGGGCCCAAGGCAGGACGGGTGGGTGAGGGGCGCAGGGACACAGGTGCCCCCTGTGGCGAGCCGCTGCCCTCTGTGAGCCCAGAATCACCCTCACTCCAAGGCTGGCGGGGCCGGCAGTGGCCCATGGGAGAGGCCGGCTGCATGGCAGGCCCAGGCCCAGGGCCCCGGCGAGGGCGGCGGTAAGCCTTGCCCCTGCGCCCAGACGCCCCGCACCCGGCTCACATGCCCCCAAGTTACCTTCCTGGCTCCTGGAGGGGCGCTTCTTTCTTCGCTTGCTTGTCCCCTTCGAAGTCCGGCCCCGGGCCCTGGGGAGGGTGCCAGACCCCGAAGAGTCCGTCACCACGTCTTCAGAGAAGGACTTGTCCAGGGACGTGTCCAGCGCGGACTCTGGGGCCGTGTCCTCCTCATCCTCGTCTCCACGAGGGCTGGGGCCGGCGTGGCGGGGGCCGGGGCCGTGGGCAGCAGCGTCCGCTGGCCCCCCACTCATGCTGTGAGCCTCGGCCTGGTGGACGCCGGGCGAGTCCACGCGCTGCTCCACGTCCTGGGGAGCGCCCTGGGCGCTGGGGGCCGTGTCGCTGAACTGGATGGGTTGCAGGGCCTGAGACTCTCCCAGAGTCACTGGCCAGGCCCCCTGGGGGGGCTGGAGGCTCAGGGCGTCTTCGGGGACCAGGACCTCGCTGGCATCGACGTACCAAGAGGACTGCCTCTCCAGGGCTGGGGGCCCGTCATCCTGCCCGGGGCTCACAGCATCCACCAGGTCCCAGCCCTTCGGCTCGGCAGCCGCGGTGGCACCCGGGCCAGGCTCCGCGGCAGCGCAGCCCGTGCTGGCCGCGGGGCCCCGCGCAGGCTCGGTAGCGGCCACTGTGGGTGGAAGGTGCTGTCAGGGCCTGGCTCTGAGTGTCTAAGCCTTGATCCTTGGCTACATCTGGCTCCTCTGGACCCGACTCAGGGCTCCCACACTGTCTAGGCATGGCAGATTGGGGGACACGCGGGCAGCCACGGATGTCACCCCTGACCACAGACTCTATCGTCACCGGTGCCCTGCCCACCTCAGGGGCCCTGAGCCCCAGGGACACCTCTGTGGGCAGCATTTGAGGACTAGGGTGACAATCACACTGGCCACAGAGCTCTGTCAGTGCTGTCCCAACCCCGGGCTGTCCCTTCTCCTCAGGGCCCAGGCCACGGGAGCTCCCGGAGGGCTTCCTGGAGGAAGGGGCAGGTCAGGGTCTCACCAGGCTCTGTGGCCCGAGGGGGGTCAGCTGCAGGCCCCCTGCTGCTGCCCTCAGAGTCTCCCCGGCCGCCACCGCCTCGGGTGGTCTTCCGCAGCTTGAAGCCTTTCCTGATGTCGGCCAGCAGGGCATCGATGACGCACACCTCCTCCTGCTTCCCGGGCCCCTTCCTCACTGCGGGGCCAGAGCCTCAGAGAGCTGCCGGGGCCTGGCGCCCACCCCACAGCCCCCGAAGGGGCAGGGGGCCAGCAGCCCACCCCTCCCCCATCTGGGCTCCCAGACCCCATCTCGCCCCAGCCTCACCGGGCTTCCCATCCTCGCCCTTCGGCCTCCGAGCCTCCCCCTCTGCCTGCTGCTGCCTCCGCCTCTCCGCCTTTGCCAGTTGCTCCTTCCGGTCCTTGTTCTCCTGCTCAGGCAGGGCAAGTCTTGTTCCCGTGGCCCCCCCAGCCGCTGCCCACTCGGTGCGCCCGGGCGTGGGTGTGGGAGGGGGGCCCTGGCGGTGCAGCAGGGCTGGCCGAGGGACGGGCAAGGCTACGGCTCACACAGCCACACCCACCGCCACCCTGGACTGGGGCAGGGGCCCCCCTCTGACCTCCGCCGCCCTGGCCTCGCCAGGCCCACCTTCAGGGCCCGGGTGAAGAGGTCCCGGAAGGCCTTCATGGTGCAGAATGTGTCTTCCAGGGACAGTTGCAGAGGCTCCTCACACAGGTAGTCTGCCAGCGCCAGCTTCTTCTGCTCGATGGCCTGGAACACCGCGTCCAGAGCCCTGGAGGCCGCGATGCTGGCCTGCGAGTACAGCCCCAGTCACCTCCCAGTGCTCCGTGGCTGGTGGGCCAGAGGGCAGGCGGAGCCCTGGGACCCTCAGACAGGGTCCCCAGGCAGAGGGCTGGTGCAGGACACAGGGGAGGGGGCGTGGTCAGCCGCTGTCCCCGGGGTTTCTGCTCTGCTCACCTTGCTCACCTCAGCTGGCCCTTTCTGCCTGGCAGGACACAGGTTCAAGGCTGCCCCTCAGTCCACCCAGCAGCCATTTTCCTTCCTGCCAGCCCTGAGGCCCCTTTCTCCCAGCTTGCCTTCAAGCGTTCAGCGTACTGCTCCTGCACCTCCGGGACTGACACGGTCACCTTCCGCTCTGTCTCTAGAAGCTTCTTCAGGTTGGCACTGGCCTCTGAGCGAATGATCTCCAAGTTGATGCTGAAAGGCACCAAGGGCTGGGGCTGTACTGGGGGACAGCTGGTGTCCAGCCACAACTGGCCCCCAGCTTTCATACTACAGGGGCCAGACACGGGGCCGGAGTAGGAGAGCGGGCGCTCACTGCAGAGGCCAGCTGCTCACGGTGGGTCTGCTCCCAGCAGCTCCGGGCCAACAGAGCCTGGAAACAGCTCCGGTGGAGGACACATGATGTGGCTCTCGGAGAGCCAGGAAGGCATCACGACTTTCCCGGGCCTGTTTCCACACCTGCACTGTGGAGGGCAGCCCAGTGCAGAGGCCGCACCAGAGCACGGGTCCTGGCCGCTGCTTCATGTCTGTTTAAGCCACGTGGGGGCAGGCCTTAAAAGCCAGACTTCTATGGGATACGGGGTCTGGGGGGGTACGGGACTGTACCATTGCTTGGTGACCAGCCCCGACCAGCGAAGTGACCGGGACCAGAGGCTGGGGCTCTGGGCTGCTTTCCAGCTTTCGGCACTACGTACCCCGCGGCCTGGGCGGGCAGCTGCAGGTCCTGGGGCAGCTGCAGGAGGTCCGGGTGGGTCTTCTCCACCTCCTGCCACAGGACGTGTCCGTGAGACCCACACTGGTCCTGCCCAGACCTGGGGACACCTCACCGGGACCTGGGGGCACCCTGCCCAGTTTGAGCCCCTTAGTCCCTGGGCTGCCCAGGCCCAGGCTTGGCTCTAAGCTTTTCCTTTTCTAAGGTGTCCCACTCCAGGGGCAGGTGTCGGGGAGCGGGGGGGGGGGGCTGCAGGAGGAGGGCAGTGGGGAGGGCAGGAGGGGCAAAGGCCCAGCTCAAGCTGAGGCCCGGCTGGGGACAGGCGGGGGTCCCCGCGTGGCCCACCTCCAGCACGTGGTGCAGCAGGGTCACGCGGCTCTGCTGGGACTTGGTCTCCGTGAGTTTCAACAGTGTGCTGATCTTGAAGCCTTCGGCATTACCTGTGTGGCTGCCCTGCGGGGGGCCGGGCGGGGCAGGGTGAGTCTCCTGGCTCTGAGGGAGCTGGGTGGGCGCTAGGGCAGCCTGACTTACATAGTTGAGGAAATTCCCGATCTTCAGGATCAGCTGGCAGAAGATGGGCAGCCGGTGGCTGGTGAGCAGGCCTGTGAGTGGCAGGCAGGGGTGAGGATGGATGGGGACCCAGCCCCTCCCCAGGCTCAGCCCAGCACCAAGAACGGCATGGGCAGAGAGGTGGGCATGTGGACCCTTCACCCCAACTGGCTTGGTGTCAGTGCTCATCAGACCCACAGCTCTGGGCTGGGATGCCCATAGCCCATCCTCTGGGTATGGACATAGGGTGCTGAGAACCTTCTGGAAACTGGCCACTCTGGTTTCTGGTGACCACTCCCTGGGGCTGCAGAGGGACCCCTGACTGAGGCAGCTGAGACCAGAGTGGACGCCACGGTGGGTGTCTGATGCAGGAAGTTACCCCGGCACGCCTGGACCTGTCTGCAGCCTGTCCTGTGGCCAGGAGAGTCCTGGCTGCCTTCTTCACAGGCAGTGTGCGTGCACATGCACATGCGTGTGAGCCCGTGCGTGTGCACACATGGTGTCTACATGCTGTGTGTGTGAGGCTCAGCCTGCACACAAGTGTGTTCCTGCATACCTGCATGGTGTGTGCATGAGGCGTAGTGTGTACCCATGCTGGTTTCTATGTGGTGTATGGGCTAAGCGTGCACGCAGACATGTCTGCATGTGCACGAGGCTAGGTGTGCACACACGCCAGTGTCTGCATGGTATACGTGCATGAGGCTGAGCATGCACACAGGCATGTACAGCAGTGTATATACATAAAGCTGTGTGTATGCAGGTGTGTGCGTGTGGTGTGTACACGAGGCTGTGTGCATGTGCGTCTGCATTGGGTATAAGGCTGAGCATGTACAAATGCGTGTCTGTATGTGAGACAGAGCGTACACACAAGCGGATGTTGTGTGAGACCGAGCTTGCACACAGGTGTGTATAAGTGGTGTGTGTACATGAGGAAGAGTGTGCATTCAGGTGTGTCTGCATGGTGTATGAGGTTGAGCGTACACGTGTGTGTGTGTGTGCATGCGCGTGCGCGCTCTGCGTGGCATGGTGATGGTGGGCCCTGGTGATGTGGTAGTCGGCAGGCTCAGTGACGGGTGACTGGCTGCATGGGGGCCCGGCCTGCCCCCCCGCCCCCCCCGCCCCCCTCCCCCCCACCCCCCGGCCCCCCACCCCCGCCTTCCTGGGCCCCGCTCACTTGTGCAGGCGTCGAGCACCAGCTGGGCCTTGGGCCGCACCATGTCCAGTATGACGGCCGTGCCTTCACACAGCAGCATGCACTCCACCCTCAGCTGGTAGCTGGAAGGGACAGCAGGGGGTCAGGGCGGAGGCTCACCACGGTCCAGCTCAGTTCCACGACACCATCCCAGCCGCCCCGGGTGAGGGCCTGCCCTTGGAGAGGGAGCTGAGGACCATGCGCGCATGGTGTCTGGAAACCAGACCGACGGCTGCCTTGCTGCTCCCAGAGCCCAGGAGCTCCAGGACACCCACTTTTCTCCACTGGATCTGGCTCCAGCCTCACCCCCTTCCCTCCCCACGGGCTGTGCTCACCAGGGGATGTCCAGCAGGAGGAGGTAGAACTGGTCCGCACTGGCCAGCCTGGCTCGCTCTTCTGTGAATGCCCGCAGGTTCTCCATCTGCTGGGCGGAGGCCCACGTGTGGAGTCCCAAGGCAACTGTCCAGGACCCTACCCACCTCCAGAAGCCCGGCCACTGGCCGCGGCCACCGCCTCCTCCTGCTGTCTCCTGCACAGCTGGCCGGGTCTCCTACCTCAGCTGCCGCCCAGGCTGGCTGGAGCGCAGGCTCACCTCGTGTTTCTCTGGAAGGAGCTTCAGGAGTTGTTTGAGTATCTCTACATCAAACCTGGTGGTGTCTCCAGCCCGGAGCATGGCAGTGACTTCCTCATTGGAGCTGGAGAGGGAAGGGGACGAGGGTCAGGGGGCAGGGTGTAGCCGCTCCATGTCTGCCTCCCTCTAAGGGGCCTCCAGGAAGCAGGGCAGTCGAAGGGCAGCCAGGAAGTTTCCTGGCAAGGGTCAATGCCCAATACCTCCAGCATGGAAGGCCTTGGAGTACAGAAAGCAGGGTCCAGACCTCACCTTGGCTTGGCCAACCCCAAAAACTCTCTGGGTCTCAGTCTCCCCAGAAGCCTGTGCTGGTGACCTTGGCTAGGGTAATCGATGGCCCCCATGACCCCAGTGTCCACCCTAGGGATGTAGCGTGCACTGCCCAGGGAGGCCTGCAGAGGGCACTGCCGGGCTGAGCTGGGCTGCGGCCCTCACCACTTAAACTGCTTCAGGAAGATGTTGAGGTTCAGGCTCTTCTTGGAGTCCAGAAACGTGACCTGGAAAACCCGCCCCGGCTGGTACCTGGAGAGAGGCACGGGCGGCCCCCCACGGCCCGGCACACCCCAGCCCACCTCCTTGGGCTCCTTCCTGGCAGGGGCAGCTGAGGGTTCTTTGGGCTTGGCCACAGGGAAGCAGAAGAGCCGCTCGATGCTGGAGAAGTCGGGCTCCACCACCTCGGTGCCAGGGCCGCTCAGCGTGGCCCACATGGAGTTGTGCTCTGTGGAGGAGGGGAGGGTGGGCGCACCGCCCGGGCCCCTGAGGACGGGAGGACCGTCCTGCTGGAGCCCAGCCCTGCCGAGCCTCGGGCAGGACCTCCCTGTGCAGGCCTGTGTGCCCCGTGGGCTTGGGCCACTCCAGAGCTGTGCACCTGGGGCGGCCGGGCAGGGCCGTGGCCCATGAGTGGGAGCCCGATGGGGTGGTTCTGGGAGGCGTCCTGCCTTCCATGCCCCCCCTGTCCCCCCCCCCCGGCCGCCAGAGTCCTGTGCCCAGCAGAGCAGATGCAGGGTGGGCAGGCAGGGCAGTGGCACATGAGTGGGAGCCTGATGCGGTGGTTCTGGGAGGAGGCCTGCCTGCCATGCCCCCCCCCCCCCCCGGCCGCCCAGCAGAGCAGACGCAGGGCGGGCAGGCAGGGCTGTGCCCCTCGGAGGGGCGGCCTCACCTCGGGCCACATTGGAGGGCAGCTTCTGCCAGTTGAGCTTCTTCATGCGCAGAGTGGGTGCTTTCACGCGGAGGTGGCTGGGGACCCAGGCCGAGCCCAGACTGTGGTCCACCTGGGCCACGATGACATCCTCCACTCCGCCGGCCATGGAGGAGGCGCTGGGCAGCGGGGGAGGCAGAGGGGGACCCCCAACACCAGGCAGCGGGGGAGGGGGTGGGGGCAAGGGCGCGGTGCCTGGGAGTGGGGGAGGGGGTGGGGGCAGGGCCTGGCCGCAGCCCGGTAAGGGTGGGGGTGGTGGAGGTACTGAAGTAAATACTCCCCCCAGGCCTGGCAGGGGGGGGTGGGGGTGGGGGTGGGGGAGGGGGAGGGGGGCCTGAGGCTGGATGATGGAGGGGAGGGGATGTGGGAGAGGGGGGCAGGCTCAACGCCGGCTGATCTGGCTGTGGAGCCATCTGGCCACCGGTGGTCTGAGCGCTGGGCGCGCGCTGGCAGATGGGAGCCGCGGCCGACTGCGGCCCCTCGAGGGCAGTCACGTCTCCAGGGCTCGGGCCTAGGTTAGCCTGGACACTCTTGTGGGCCTTGTCCTGCGGGCTGGGTCGAGGCCGGCCTTTAAGGGACAGAAGCCGTTCGACCACCTCCTCCAAGGGGCTCTCCTGGGCTAAAGGGGAGAGATGTCCAGGGTCAGGGAGCGGGCTCGGGGGGCGGAGGAGCGAGGGGTCCCGGCCGGGGCCCCCACACGCCCCTCTGCACCCCGCCAGCCTCCACTCACCATCGCCGGCCAGGAGCACGGCCCGGTTCACCAGGCTCTCCAGCACCTCCCAGAGCAGCTGGCCTGGAGGGCGGGTGGGCTCCAGGTGCAGGAGGCCCTGCAGCATGGACAGCAGCTGGGCTGAGGCGGGCGAGCAGCTCACCTGGGGGGGCGCCAAGGAGAGGCAGGTCGGGGGGGGGGGAGGCACAGGGGAGGAGCAGGTGGGGGGGGAGGGCACAGGGGAGGGGCAGGTCGGGGGGGAGAGGTCACAGGGGAGGAGCAGGTCGGGGGAGGGGGAGGCACAGGGGAGGAGCAGGTCGGGGGGGAGAGGTCACAGGGGAGGAGCAGGTGGGGGGGGGAGGGCACAGGGGAGGAGCAGGTGGGGGGGGAGGGCACAGGGGAGGAGCAGGTGGGGGGGGAGGGCACAGGGGAGGAGCAGGTGGGGGGGGAGAGGTCACAGGGGAGGAGCAGGTGGGGGGGGGAGGGCACAGGGGAGGAGCAGGTGGGGGGGGGGAGGGCACAGGGGAGGAGCAGGTGGGGGGGGAGGGCACAGGGGAGGAGCAGGTGGGGGGGGAGAGGTCACAGGGGAGGAGCAGGTGGGGGGGGAGGGCACAGGGGAGGAGCAGGTGGGGGGGGGAGGGCACAGGGGAGGAGCAGGTGGGGGGGGAGGGCACAGGGGAGGAGCAGGTGGGGGGGGAGGGCACAGGGGAGGAGCAGGTGGGGGGGGAGGGCACAGGGGAGGAGCAGGTGGGGGGGGAGGGCACAGGGGAGGAGCAGGTGGGGGGGGAGGGCACAGGGGAGGAGCAGGTGGGGGGGGGAGGGCACAGGGGAGGAGCAGGTGGGGGGGAGGTCACAGGGGAGGAGCAGGTGGGGGGGGAGGGCACAGGGGAGGAGCAGGTGGGGGGGGCACAGGGGAGGAGCAGGTCGGGGGGGGGGAGGGCACAGGGGAGGAGCAGGTGGGGGGGAGGGCACAGGGGAGGAGCAGGTCGGGGGGGGGGGAGGGCACAGGGGAGGAGCAGGTGGGGGGGGGGAGGGCACAGGGGAGGAGCAGGTGGGGGGGGAGGGCACAGGGGAGGAGCAGGTGGGGGGGGGAGGGCACAGGGGAGGAGCAGGTGGGGGGGGGAGGGCACAGGGGAGGAGCAGGTGGGGGGGGAGGGCACAGGGGAGGAGCAGGTCGGGGGAGGGGGAGGCACAGGGGAGGAGCAGGTCGGGGGAGGGGGAGGCACAGGGGAGGAGCAGGTCGGGGGAGGGGGAGGCACAGGGGAGGAGCAGGTCGGGGGAGGGGGAGGCACAGGGGAGGAGCAGGTCGGGGGGGAGGGCACAGGGGAGGAGCAGGTGGGGGGGGGAGGCACAGGGGAGGAGCAGGTCGGGGGGGGAGAGGTCACAGGGGAGGAGCAGGTGGGGGGGGAGGGCACAGGGGAGGAGCAGGTGGGGGGGGGAGGCACAGGGGAGGAGCAGGTCGGGGGGGAGGGCACAGGGGAGGAGCAGGTCGGGGGGGGGAGGCACAGGGGAGGAGCAGGTCGGGGGGGGAGGGCACAGGGGAGGAGCAGGTCGGGGGGGGAGGGCACAGGGGAGGAGCAGGTCGGGGGGGGAGGGCACAGGGGAGGGCTGCCAGGGGCCCACCGGCCACTCCCCCCCAGGCAGACCTACTGGCTGACGAGCCCCCTTTCACCTTGCCAAAGCCCTGGCGGTTTGTAGCTCAGAGACAGGCTCTCTGACTATGCTCCTGTGACAAGGGACATTGCTGTGTTGCGGGACATTAAATGGCATGTCTGGTCTCCATACACAGGAGCCAGCAGCACGCCCCGACAGCAGTGACATTGCCAGATCACGCCAGGGTACAGATTACCTCCCGGATGAGAACCTCTGGCACCACCCCACCCCCCAGCCCTCAGGGGGCCGCAAGTTCCACGAAGCCCCAGCACTGACCAGCTGGCGGAGGTCCAGCACAGGATGGCCGCTGGGGCGGCGCTGGCCCAGGACAGCCTGGGCCTTGCACTGAGGACCAGGCCTGCCTTGCCACCTCCCGTCACTCCAGCTCTGTGCTGGCCAGCGGAGGCGCGGTCTGGGGCCACGCCAGGCCCAGCCTTCCGGGGGGGGGGGCCCACCTTGTGGAAGAGCGAGGCGAAGACCTCCTGGTGGCTGCTCATGTCCAGGCCCCCGCAGCTACGCTGCAGCTCCTCCTCATCCTCAGCCCTGGCCTCCTCGAAGGCTTCCAGCTGGATCAGCAGGTCGGAGTCCTCTAGGTCCCTGTGGCGGGAGGTCCGCGTGGCTCCCACGGCCCCGCCCCCTTTGGGGTGGGGTGGGGCAGGCCCTGGGAGGACCCCAGACCGGGCTCCTACACAGGCCGGTGGCCACGCTGGCACACAGCACCACAGCCGGGTGGCATTCTGAGGTTCTCGAGGGGCAGGTACGGGATAGGGGCGGAAGAGCTGGTCAAGGCCACACCCGGGCAGGGGGTCCACAGGGCGCCAGAGGCACGGGAAGGGGCAGGGCCTGGCTGTGCACTGGGCCCAGGTCCCACCACCATGTTAACTTGGCCAGCGAGTGGAGCCTTTGGCAGGCATCTGCCCGCAGGGCCCCGGGCACAGGCCCCACTCCCAGAGCAGACGGTGGTGCAGGTTAGGTTGTCAGCGAGCTGGAGACCCCACAGGGCTTCCAGATTCACAACCACAGCCACAAAACGCGCGCGGCACCGAGTGTCAGACATAGCCCAGCACAGTCTACCCCGTGTGACGTCCCGGTTCACAGGTTCACACGTTCACAGGTGACTGTGGGGTGTGACTGGGTCTCCCGGATGTCTGTCTCCGGGCCTGGCCCAGCCCCGGGGAGTCACTCCTGGAAGCCACCTCCCTGCTCATCTGGGGGAAATGCTTAGGCCAGGCAGTGGGACACGGAAGAGGGTTTTGGAGCAAGGGGGCAGCTGGCAGGACTCACCGTAGCCGGGTCAGAATGTCCAGCAGCTGCAGCCCTGGAGAGGGACAGAGTCAGATCAGAGCTCTGAGGGCTGCTCTGGGCACTGCAGCTTTGTTTGTTTGTTTTAATTCTTCCTTCCTTTTTCCCTCCCTCCCCCTCCTCTCCCTTCTTGCAGTATTGACATTTTTTTTTTGTTGGGGGGGAGGTCGGTCGTGGGGCTTGAACTCTGGGCCTGGGCACTGTCCCTCAGCTCTTCAGCTCAAGGCTAGCACTCTACCACTTGAGCCACAGCGCCACTTCCGGCTTTTTCTGCTTATGTGGTGCTGAGGAATCGAACCCAGGGCCTCATGCACGCAAGGCAAGTGCTCTACCACTGAGCCACCCTTCCAGCCCCATTACTGACATTGGAATGCAGGGCCTCACGTGTTAGGCAAGCATTCTACACTTAAGCCATGTCCCCAGCATCCTGGTCTTTACTTTTTAGATACAGTTTCAAGCTTCCGCCCAGGAGGGCAGACTGAGACCCTCTACTTACTTTCATAGCTAAGATTATAAACTTGTGACACCACACCCAGCCTGTTTTATAAGACAAAATCTATCCTTTTCTCTTCCTTCTTTTTTCTTTAACATCTGACTTTGAACTGCAATCCTCCCTTCTCCATTTGCTAAGAAGCTGAGATTATAGGCATTAGCCTCCATCGCTTATATCTTGGATTTAACTCTTTGACCCTCCCACCTCGCCTAGCACCACCTCAGACTCTGGAGTCTTGATGCTCCACAGGGGCCACGTGCTGGGCTAAGAGCGGTATTGCTGAGTGGTTACCTAGAGGGGACACGGCTGGACCTGGGGGTCAGGCCCTCTGCCTCCCTCTGCCACCCCACCTTTGGATAGAGTCTGGGACACTCCCAGTGGGAGCAGGGGAGGCTCCTCAGCTCCCAGGAGCATGGCAGGCAGGGAGGAGGTGGCACTGGGCAGGCCTGAGCGCTGGGGGTGTGGCTGGCAGGGTTACCGATGAACTCGCCGCGCAGCTGGGTCCGGGTGCGGAGGGCCTCGGGGCCCAGGATGATGGCGTTGACCACGCTGAGCAGGGTGACCACGTAGGGTATGTTGTCACTGTCAGAGAGCTCATTCATGATGACGCTGAAGCGGTACTGCTGGCTGCACACCGTCTGTGGGGTGGGCAGGGTCAGGGCGGGCCCAGGAGGGAGGCCATGCCAGCCCACGCCAGGTCCTCACGGCTCACCTTGTAATGATCCAGGGCGTCCAGTGTAAGTGCGTGGCCCTCAGGGGAGTAGATGCACAGGGCGGCCAGCAGCTCAAACACCTGCTTCTTGACCATCATGTTGGATGTGTCCAGGGCTGTGGAGGGATGAGGGGGGCAGCAGGCTCTCTGAGTCCCCCTCAGTGCCCAGCCCTTCTGGGCACCGAGCTCACGGCTGGACTGCCGCCAGTGGGCACTCCCAAGCCTGGCGGGGACCACAGGGGTGGGGTGTCCACGAGGGCCCCACAGCCCCCCCGCCCTCCCAGCCACGTCCCCACACCGTGGCCGTGGCTCACCGAGAGAGAGCTGGCGCACGTAGCCCTGGTTGCTGAGGATGTACTCGATGCCCTGCTGCGAGTTCATGACGGCACGCACGCAGCTGATGCAGGTGAGCTGCAGCAGGGCGTCGGAGATGCGGGCCACGCCGCGGCCTGACAGCCGCGCCAGCGCCGTCAGCAGCAGGTCCAGGCCGCTCTGCTCCAGGAACTGCACCATCCACCCACCATCGCTGCTCTCCAGGCGCTTGTGCAGGCCGGAGTAGTTGACCACGGAGGGCATCTGCAGCAGCCGGATGCACAGCTCGGGGTCGGCGTTCTCCAGGTTGGCCTCGGTGGGGTCCGAGTCCTGCGGCCCCAGCTTTTCCTTCAGTGCCGCCCACTTGCGCTGGGCACCCTCCTTCACCGACATCTTGCCAAACTGTGGGGCCAGAGAGAGACCGGGGCGTCAGTCCAGCCGGGGGGATGGCCAAGGCCCAGAGGCCAGGGCTCGGCTGGCTGCCAGCGGCACGCAGAGCACCGTCTACTGCCTCGGTTTCTCCACTGGGCTGACACCCTGTGACACAAGGTTGCCGTGGCCCCTGGTTTCCGGCCCTGGGCGCATCTCCAACTGGGCTGTGGGCGGGTGGGTGCTCCACATGCACGGGACCGTGGGCTCCAGCGGGGCTGTCCTTGCAGGTCTGGAGCAGGGGCGAGGCCCGGGGCGCCATGCTGGCTGAAACGTCACCGCCACCGTGATGGCGGTGCCAGGACGCGCCATCCTGAGGCTCTCATCTCCGCCAGGCCGTCCCTGGCGGCCACAGCTCAGGAGTGAGCCGGGAGGGTGCAGCACAGGGCAGGCTGGGGACCCTGTGTGGCCGACGCCCGGGCCTCCCCCGCGTGGCGGCCGCCCTGCCCGCTGCCCTCGCCCGGCCTCGCGTGTCTGGGTGGGAGGATGGGGGCACTTGGCACAGACAAGCTTGGTCCTCGGCACTTCGAGTTTTACCTGACTCCTGCCCAGGAACAGGAGAACAGGCCTGGCCCAGAATGTTCTCCCAACACATGCTTTTCCCTAAAGCAGGGCCGTGGGACAGGCAGACTGGGGCCTCCTGGGGCCCCTGCCCTGGGCCTGCCCAGTGCTGTGCTGCCCTGCCGCTGCCCCTGGGGACAGTGAAAGGCCAGGCGCGTCCCAGGCTCTCCCGAGCCATGTTTGGCTGGGGCCTGATACTTGGTGTCTGAGAAGCCCAGCGTGGGGGCGCAGGGGAGGCTCAGAGGCTGAGTCTTGCACTCACCACGGGTCCCCCACAGCCACCTCTTGCAAGGTAGGAGAGAAGTGGGGAACTAGAGGTGGTACCAGGGAGCAGGCCCCAATGCCAGTCCTGCTGAGCACCTGAGCTCTGCCGGGGGCCCAGGGGCCTGAACCCGCTGAATGCCGGGGGCCCCGGGGTGGCCCTGAACCCGCTGAATGCCAGGGGCCCCAGGGCCTGAACCCGCTGAATGCTGGGGCCCCGGGGTGGCCCTGAACCCGCTGAATGCTGGGGGTCCGGCTCAAGTGTGCTCTAAGTGCCGCCAGCCCAGCCAGCTGGAGGACAGCCAGGCCGTGGGGGATGAGGCCACTAGTACCCAGCTGAGTGGGACTGGGGAGCAGGTGTCCTTCCCGCAGGAAGCTGACCCCTCTGCCGGGGATGCCCAGCCCAGCCCCTCACCACCTGCTCGTCCAACTCCCCTGCGGCCCTGGGGCCTGGTCCTCCTGGCAGCAGCCTCTGTTTCCTCACCTGCAATTCTGCGTTCTGCTCTGGGCAGCGGAGCGATAGGTCTGGCTAGGTGAGGGCTGTTTGTGCCCATCCTGGGTGCTGCGCCCCAGCTCCCCATGGCCCCAGGCCGAGCCCTGCCAACCACACACATCACCCTCCACTCACCCAGACATGCAAGACCTTCCTGCTGCCTCTGGCTACCCACTCTGGGCCCTGCCTCCAGCCTCTCATGGCTGCGGACCGCGGGGCTACCAGCCGCTAACTTCCGTCCTGCTCTCTCCCTGGCAGACTCAGCTCCCCAAGTCCTGGCTCCTCGGCCGGCCACCGTGGGAGCTGCCTGCCTGCCTCTGCACACTCCCCGCCTCCTGTGCCGCCTGGAACGCGGCTCCCTCCCCGGCCTCAGCCTCCCTTGGCTCCAGGCCCTGCCGTCCCCCTGGCACAGGCTGAGGGCACAGGGCATGGCCAATCCCAGGCCAGCTCTCCTGTCCGCAGTCTGCATGCCCGGAGTGCTCCTGCCTCCCCCTCCTGAAAGGTCCAACCGGCGGGAGCCCCGCGGGTGGGGCTCAGCCTGGGCAGGTGGGTCCTGGCTGTCTGGCCTCCTGGGGCCCACGGGCAGCCTGGTCCACCTCTTTGCAGGATGGCACTGAGTGCACACACACGGACAACAGACAGCAAACAGAGCCACAGCACTCTGACCTCTGGTGTGCAGCAACCAGCCAGCAAGGCAGACGTAACGGTAGCAATGGGCCCTGACAGCTGGCAGGAGCAATGATCGACAGCTTCTATATTTCCTTAATTCTCCAACTCAGGGGCAGTAAGAAAGGCAACTCCCCTGAGCAACAGGAGGCCCACGTCTGGCTGGCCTCCAATGAGGGCCTCTCAGAACCTGCCTGCCTTTGGTCTCTACCAAACGCAAGGGCTGAAGGCCAGGCCCGGCCGCAGCAATCCCCCCGCAGCCTGTGCCTGCTCCACAGGGCGGTGGCTGCACATTTGCCTCGCGGCATGAGGGAGCCAGCTTGCTGACCTGGGGTGCGGGGGGCTGCGGGGAGCACTGTCCCAGGCAGATGGCTGTGGATCCCTGTTTGTTCTCCTCTGCTCGGGAGGCTGCTGTGGGACCCCCATGTAGGAACTGGAGATAGGGGTAAGGAGGGGACACCGGGGGCTGCGTACCACCTTGGAGAACACCCAGCCCTTCCTGTCAGTCCAGGCGGGGCTGGGACAGGCACCAAGTGAGGAGCGGACGGGGGCTGGGACAGGCACCAAGTGAGGAGCGGACGGAGCTCAGCGCAGGGATCTGCACTTGCAGAGGTTCCTTAGTTCCCGCTGTAACCCACAGGGAAGGACAGAGTCTGGGCTGGGCAGCCAGATCCAGACTCAGACAGCTGGGAGTCGGGTGCCGACAAGTGTTTCATTTGCCCATGGAGCCCCTCCAGGCCCACTGACCTCCGTGGACAGGGCCTCTGAGGTGAGGCCTGAGGCTGGGCTCAGGGCAGCTTGTCCCCATTGGCTTTTGTTCGCCGTGGGCCTCTTTTTCTGAGACAGGCCCAGGCTGGATCTTGGGGACAGGGCCTCCCTCAGGGTGTGCGGCGCTGGCTCAGATCTGCGTGCTCAGCAAGCCGTCTGCCTGCACACAGTCCCCCCACACACACAGACTGGCTGCTGGCCAGTCTGGCACGGTGATGCCGGCACCTCCATCCCACATGCCTGGGCAGCGCCTCTGACTCACCGGGACTGCAGAGGTTGCCGCCCCTGCCTGGTAGTCATTCTGCCTGCTAGTCACCGTCGGCTGAGGAGACTGGGCCGGGCCAAAGCGGCCCTTCCACAGATCTCAAGACCACAGAAAACCTGAGCGCAGGAGGGTGCTCCACCGGGCATTGAGCTGTGGCACAGCGGGATCTGGCATGGGCACCTTGGGCCCAGAGGAAGGTGGCAGTGGGGGTCCCAGCTCCCCTGGAACCTGAATGAGCCACAGAACCCCTAAGCTCTAGAGTTCTCTGCAGCATAAGAAAACCAGCCCCGGCCTCTAGGAGCCACTGCATGGGCAGGGGAGGCGGAGGAGCGCGGGCACGGGGGGAGGTTGGAGGTGCAGGGGCAGGGGCACGGGGGAGGTTGGAGGTGCAGGAGCGTGGGCACGGGGGGAGGGGAGGTGCAGGAGTGTGGGCAGGGGGGGAGGTTGGAGGTGCAGGAGTGTGGGCACGGGGGGAGGTTGGAGGTGCAGGAGCAGGGGCACGGGGGGAGGTTGGAGGTGCAGGAGTGTGGGCAGGGGGGAGGTTGGAGGCGCAGGAGCGTGGGCAGGGGGGAGGGGAGGTGCAGGAGTGTGGGCACGGGGGGAGGTTGGAGGTGCAGGAGCGTGGGCACGGGGGGAGGGGAGGTGCAGGAGCGTGGGCACGGGGGGAGGTTGGAGGTGCAGGGGCAGGGGCACGGGGGGAGGTTGGAGGTGCAGGAGCGTGGGCACGGGGGGAGGTTGGAGGTGCAGGAGCGTGGGCACGGGGGAGGTTGGAGGTGCAGGAGCGTGGGCACGGGGGGAGGTTGGAGGTGCAGGGGCAGGGGCACGGGGGGAGGTTGGAGGTGCAGGAGCGTGGGCACGGGGGGAGGTTGGAGGTGCAGGAGCGTGGGCACGGGGGGAGGTTGGAGGTGCAGGAGCGTGGGCACGGGGGGAGGTTGGAGGTGCAGGAGCGCGGGCACGGGGGGAGGTTGGAGGTGCAGGAGCGTGGGCACGGGGGAGGTTGGAGGTGCAGGAGCGTGGGCACGGGGGGAGGGGAGGTGCAGGAGCGTGGGCACGGGGGGAGGTTGGAGGTGCAGGGGCAGGGGCACGGGGGGAGGTTGGAGGTGCAGGAGCGTGGGCACGGGGGGAGGTTGGAGGTGCAGGAGCGTGGGCACGGGGGAGGTTGGAGGTGCAGGAGCGTGGGCACGGGGGGAGGTTGGAGGTGCAGGGGCAGGGGCACGGGGGGAGGTTGGAGGTGCAGGAGCGTGGGCACGGGGGGAGGTTGGAGGTGCAGGAGCGTGGGCACGGGGGGAGGTTGGAGGTGCAGGAGTGTGGGCACGGGGGGAGGTTGGAGGTGCAGGAGCGTGGGCACGGGGGGAGGTTGGAGGTGCAGGAGCGTGGGCAGGGGGGAGGTTGGAGGTGCAGGAGCGTGGGCACGGGGGGAGGTTGGAGGTGCAGGAGTGTGGGCACGGGGGGAGGTTGGAGGCGCAGGAGCAGGGGCACGGGGGGAGGTTGGAGGTGCAGGAGCGTGGGCACGGGGGGAGGTTGGAGGTGCAGGAGCGTGGGCAGGGGGGAGGTTGAAGGTGCAGGAGCGTGGGCAGGGGGGAGGTTGGAGGTGCAGGAGCGTGGGCACGGGGGGAGGGGAGGTGCAGGAGCGTGGGCAGGGGGGAGGTTGGAGGTGCAGGAGCGTGGGCACGGGGGAGGTTGGAGGTGCAGGAGCGTGGGCACGGGGGGAGGTTGGAGGCGCAGGAGTGTGGGCAGGGGGGAGGTTGGAGGTGCAGGAGTGTGGGCACGGGGGGAGGTTGGAGGTGCAGGAGCGTGGGCACGGGGGGAGGTTGGAGGTGCAGGAGCGTGGGCAGGGGGGAGGTTGGAGGCGCAGGAGCGTGGGCACAGGGGGAGGTTGGAGGTGCAGGAGTGTGGGCACGGGGGGAGGTTGGAGGTGCAGGAGTGTGGGCACGGGGGAAGGGGAGGGAAGGGGCAGGAGCGTGGGCACGGGGGAGGTTGGAGGCGCAGGAGTGTGGGCACGGGGGGAGGTTGGAGGTGCAGGAGCGCGGGCACGGGGGAGGGGGAGGGAAGGGGCAGGAGCGTGGGCACGGGGGGAGGTTGGAGATGCAGGGGCGCGGGCACGGGGGAGGGGGAGGGAAGGGGCAGGAGCGTGGGCATGGGAGGGGGGAGGTGCAGGGGCACCGGCATGGGGAAGGGGCAGGAGCGTGTGTGGGGAAAGGCACGGGAGCATGCAGGAGCGCGTGTAAGGAAACCACAAGCATGTGTGCATGGGAAGGAGGTCCCGAGATGTTTTCTGGTCTAGGCTCCCCATGAGAAGCTGGCTGGGCCCTGGAAAGCAGGACCCCTCTCTGCGCCACCCCTGCAGGCCCTGCTGTGGCAAGGGCCTCAGGGCCCGAGCAGGACAGGGTGAGGGCCGTGCTGGCTCCGGGGGGCATTCCCCATGGGAGTCGGGAGGAGTCTTGCAGCGCAGTGCAGGAGCTGGGTTGCTTCTGGGCCTAGTGCCAGGAGGGGGGACACGAAGGAGGAACGCGTCTCCTGCGGGTGGGCGGGTAAATGGCAGGAGCAGGATTCCGGAACCAGGATGCAGGGGCTGCCACACTGTATTTTTAGCTTCTCCAAGAGCCCAAATTTTTCCACTGCCTGGCAACCCTTGGCTCTCTGGAGCTGCATACACACCTGGCAGCTCCCTATGAGCTCGGGGGCAGCCCTGACGCTGGGCCTGTCCTGCTATGACCCCCATCCCCTTCCCAGCGACCCCCATCTCAACTCCTTTGAGCCCTCAGCAAGTGTGCCACCTTCCCACCACACCACAGGTCCCTTGTGGGCCTGGGGGGCCACCCCCAGGCCAGGCCGGGTAGATGGCCCTCGGCAGACAGGGAGAAGAGCGTCCACCCACTGCCCACGGCCATGGCACGTGGGGGTGGGGGCCACATCCAGGGAACACCCAGCCCCCATCTCCTGTGGTCCTCAGAGTGCGGGACAACCCACACAGCGTGGCATGTCACAGGACTCCGGCTCAAGTGCTCGCAGAATACACACACAGGGAATACCTGCTAGAGGCTCCTGGGCACCACCCCTGGCCTGTACCTGCTAGAGCAGGGTGTGGGCAGCCTGGGCTGGGCTGTCTGTCTGGGATGGCCAGCTCCCTCAGTCAAGGGGAGGGCAGGAAGGGTGGAGGCACCCACTCCAGGAAGCCGGTCTTCCGCTTCCACCTGCTCCAAGATTGGAGCTGCAGGGTCACCAGAGGGGCCCTTCTCAGGGCTTCGGTTTCCCGGCTACACCAAGGAGGCCGGTGGGTGTTCCTTGCAGGTGTGGCTTGTAAGCAGTGTGCCCTTGGTCCTCAGCTCCTCCCAGCCTTGGGGTTCCCGCCTGCTCTGCCCAGACCCACCTGAGCTCCCACCTGCCTCACTTCCTGCCCCAGACCCCTCTTGGGGGAAATATGGCTGCGCTAATAAACCTTGTGGTAACCTTTCTCCCGTGCCTGCCTGCTGCCTGCCCCCGCGTGAACCTTCACATCATCCCTTCATGGCTACCTCTGACATTCTCAGGGCTCTGGGATGGCGGGGGGCACTGTCTGAGCCTCACTGTGGAAGTGGAGAGGAGCCGGGGTGAAGGCCGGAGCAGAGTTGCCAGGCTGCAGGGCAACTGGGCCAGTGCAGCTGGTCACAGCTTCCACGGCTGGGCTGGGGATGGCCCCGGGGCCCCGGGGCCTCCTGCTGTCCTCAGAAAGGCCCCTCACCGAGAGGAGGGCTCAGCTGGCGTCAGGACTCGGTCCCGAAGGAGCGTGTTCGCCTGAACCTCAGAGCGGGCCTCTACCCTGACTGTGCCCAGGAGAGGAGGGGCTGTCCTTCGCAGTGCCCAGCTCCAGGCTGCCTTCCGGGGGGCAGAGAACACAGAAAGATTGAGAATGGGGAGGAGCGGGGCACTCCCTCCACACACCCAGGGGCAGCTGCCAGTGCGGGGGGGGGGGGGGGAGGGGGGCAGGGTCCATGCCCGGTAGCAGGCGCTCTGCCTGGAGTGGCACACCCCCTGGACACTCGCTGGCGCTCCAGCTCCTGACTTCACATAGGCGCGAGCACGCTGATGCTGGCCCTGGAGCTGCTGTTGGAGCAGGGCCCCACCGGCGGCACCAGGCACCGCAGCTCTGAGGGCACGGACGGCCTCGGCCCCTGGGCTGCCTGCGTGCGGCCAGGCCTGAGCTGGGACTGTGTGGGTCTGCCTGGCCTCTGCTCCGCCTTCCTCGGCCACCTGGCCCCGGGCAGCCAGCACCTGGGAGCCGGTCAGGCTCAACCGGCCAAGCGAGCTCCTCTGCTGGGCACAACAGGCCAGCATCCCTGTGTGGGGTGTGGGGGCGCGCAGCCGGGGGCAGCGGCGCTGGACTCCGCTCTTCATCTGCACAGTGACCAGGGCATTCTCCAGAGCCTCCCACAGGCCCGCCAAAGCCCATGGGGCTTCTGGCCCGGGCCTCTGCTCAGTGGCCTCCTGCGTCCTGCCCCCTCTACCCCGCGCCGCAGGCAGCCCCTGCTGCTGTCCCCCCAGCCCCCAGACTGGGCCCTCCAAGCATGAGTGTTCCTGGGGTTCTGGGGGGGGGCGCCAACGGGCAGGGGATGGGCAGCACCCTCCTCCTAGCCTGGGTAAGAGCATTCCTCTGCCTCCTGCTGTTGGTGCCGGCACCAACAACTCCCTGGTGGCAAGCTGTGCTCGGGGCGGAAAGGGGACACACAGGTGACACCATGGTGGTGGGGATGGGCTGCAGGCCACAGCCCAGGACCTAAGAGCACCCGGACCAGGCTCTGAAAGGGAGACTGAGTCAAAGAGACACCAGCGCTCCTCACAGAGCTGGCTCCAAGGCCACAGCCGCCCCTCACCTCATCTCCTGTCGTCCTGGCCCCTGGCCAGCGTGCTCTGCAGGGGTGGCAGCCTGTGCTGCCCGTGGCGGGGCTCCAGGTTGGCCTCCAGGCCCCGTCCACCCACCCACACCTGGTGGGGGCCGTAAGCCGGGTCTGGCTGGGGGAGGGGGCAGTGGAGTATGGTGACAGCATGGCAGGGCTCTGCCCAGGTCCCTCTGACCCTGAGAGGCCTCTAGTCTCCAGCGAGGCCTCCTCGTGCCCACCTGCTCTCCCAAAGAACCTGCTGAGGGCAAGACACTGGCTGGGCCCCTGGGGCTCCTGCTGGGCGCTCCCAGACCTGGGCCTTCCCTCCCCTGCTTCCTGCAGCTGGGAAGGCTGCAGGGGGAGTGGGCGGTGAACAGGAAGCAGCTTTGACTCGCTGTCCTCAGATAGCGCCGCAGGGACCTGCAGACCCAGAACTCCCGGCCAGGCTGTGGCTCTGGCCCTGCCTATCAGCCAGACCAATCCAGCAAAGGGGGCTCCCGGGGTTCAGGGTGGGAGGTCACCCAGTCACTGCAAGGGGCTCCAGGAGGGAAGCCAGCCTGCTTCCCCATTTCCAGGCCCAGCAGGAACTATTTGGCCAGGACAAAGCCTCCAGATTCCCAGAATGCTGTACTATTCAGGTGATGAGGGGCGGGGGTGCGAGGGTCCAGGAATCACCCTTCGAGTGCTGGGCTGGGTGCCACCGGGAGAGGCGAGGTGGGCAGAGGGCAGTGCCCAGGGAGCTGCAGCTCGCCTACTCGGGGCACAAGCCCCTGCCCATCTACTCCCTCAGCACACAGACGTGCACAGGGCCGGCAGTGGCAGGGCCGGGGGCCCAGGGCCAGTGGGGGGGGGGGGCGGGGGCGAGGTGGGCCTGGCAGGGGGAGACCTGAGCAGCAAGTTGAGCAGCAGCAGCCCCATTCTCTAATCACACCTTAGAAAGGGCTGGACGCGGGCAGGCTGGCTCCCCCAGCCCTGCACGGCAGGCAGTCCCTAGGAGGAAGCACGTGGCCAGCTGGGCAGGCAGGCAGTGGTGAGCAGACCCCCCCCGGACGTGTGGGCAAGCAGGGCTACAGGACCCAACCTCACATCGCCAGTGACACCTCCTGGTTCTTACCAGCGGGTGCCCCCGGGCCGGGCTCTGCGGTAGCCCACAGGCACAGCTGGGCAGACTGGCTGCGCATGGCCTCTACCTCCCAGCCTCCCTGCCTGGCCTTCCGGAAACGTTCTAGAAGCAAAGATAGCCACGAACCTCACACCCCGAAGGAGGGATGGGCACGGAGAGGCAGGCCCCAGCCAGGCCCCATCCTCCACGCCTCGGGAACTCTGATGGACACAGGGGCTGGCCCAGGCCGACGCCAGGGAATATCCCCCACCCCGGCAGCCCTGCGTCTCCCTGACCCCCCACGGTGACAGCCCTGCTACCTAGCCACCGCTGCCCACTCCTCACCAGCCTGAAAACGCTTCAGCCCGGAACAACTGCTCCCGACAGGGGGTGAAGGCTCTACGTAAGGCAGAGCTCCCAGGTCCCAGGATGTGAGGAGCGCAATTAGCTCGACAGCCGTCAGCACCCCCACAAAGTGGGCGCCTCACCTGGGGGTTAACTCTCTGCTACCCAGGAGCGGGTCTGGGAGGGGGCTCCATCCTCAGCCCTCCCAGGGGAGCTCCTTCTGTCTGCAGACGAGGCTCACAAGGCCAGAGCTCGGTACTCCCCGGGAAGGAAGGGACACAAGGCCAGAGCTCAGTACTCCCCGGGAAGGAAGGGACACAAGGCCGGAGCTCGGTACTCCCCGGGAAGAAAGGGACACAAGGCCAGGAGCTTGGTACTCCCCTGGAAGGAAGGGACACAAGGCTGGAGCTCGGTACTCCCCGGGAAGAAAGGGACACAAGACCGGAGCTCAGTACTCCCTGGAAAAGAAGGGACACAAGGCTGGATCTCGGTACTCCCCTGGAAGGAAGGGATACAAGGCCAGAGCTCGGTACTCCCCTGGAAGGAAGGGACACAAGGCCGGAGCTTGGTACTCTCTGGGAAGAAAAGGACACAAGGCCAGGAGCTCGGTACTCCCCTGGAAGGGACACAAGGCCAGAGCTCGGTACTCCCCGGGAAGGAAGGGACACAAGACCGGAGCTCAGTACTCCCCGGGAAGGAAGGGACACAAGGCCGGAGCTCGGTACTCCCCGGGAAGAAAGGGACACAAGGCCAGGAGCTTGGTACTCCCCTGGAAGGAAGGGACACAAGGCTGGAGCTCGGTACTCCCCGGGAAGAAAGGGACACAAGACTGGAGCTCAGTACTCCCCGGGAAGGAAGGGACACAA